TTTGTTAAAGCCAAGATATGAATCCGCTATCGTATCCTTAGGGTCATTGTGCCATGCTGGTCATTGCTATAGATCATCCACATCATATGCCTATGATGGGTAGGACAATTGGTTGTTTCCCTTGAAAGTTTTCATGGCTCTTTCTGGGACCATGAAAGCTCACCTTTGTGTGGTCAGCCCTGAAATAGTGTGCTTGCAAGTAACATTACGTGGACTAAGTATTACATGAGAGGGGCTGAAGAGGGGCAAAGGAAGGAGAAAGTAATGCGTTTTAATTTCAACAAGCAAAAGAGTTAGATAAGGCAAAACTGTTAACTGTATACAGGGAATAAAGTGTGCTCTGTATGGTTTTTCAGCAGCTCCCTGAATTGTTTGATTAGCTCCATCAGCAACTATTTACCATGAATTATTGTTAGCATATTATACATTATTATTATCGTTAACTGTTGCCAAATTAATATATGCACATCTAGAATCACAAATTTCGGCCTTCATGGACTTTAGTGGGGATAGGAGAGACTGACAAGTGACTAATAATTATAAATATATTGGCTGTTAAGAATGGGTATCGCTAAGTGGGAAACTAAAGCAGAAAGTAGAGGTGTGAGTGATGGGTTTTTATGGTGTGGTGTGCCATTTTAGTTTGGGGCCACAGGATGACTCACCAAGTGGGTTGGTTAAGACACCCAGCAGGTTTAAGATATATGGATACTCATAGCTTCAGGAAGATTATTTGAGCTGTGGGAGAGAGGAAGACCACAGACCCTGGTGCAGATGTGTGTCTTGATATGTTTGGATTCCACCATGGTTAGTTTGCCTTGGACTGAGCAAGTGAGCTGAGGTTAGTTAGAGAAGGGGTTAGCAGGTCCCAGGATGGAATGCTGGCAGCTCGTGGTCCTCACACGAGTAGGTCCCACTGGGAGGATTGGCACAGGATTGGTCTGCCTTTGCCTTTTCACAGGACCCACTTTGTGTGATGCTTTGGGGGAAAACTTTAAGGGGGCCAAGAATTCAAGTCTAGGGGCTGTGGAGAGGGGGCAGGAGAATACTGCATCAGAAGTAGAATAGATTTTGATTCTGGCATGGAAAACATTTACTCTAGGATTGGTTTAGACAGGAAGAGAGAGAACTAAAGGTGACTGAGGAGTAGTGTCTAGATAACTTGCAAGATAGAGTATCTGGAGAGCAAATTGTATATCCCAGTGTGATATTTGCTGATAGTTCATGATGAAGTCTAAAATAATTGGTTTTGTTGGCTTTAGTAGGATTCTGAGGGTTCTAAATGTCAGAGAATCCTCTTTCTGTCATGGCCCTCTCTGGAGTTGTTTTGTGTCCTCTCTCTTAATTGAAGTTTCTCTTCTCTCTCCCAGTGGAAAACATCCATTATTTTCTGAAGCATTTATTCTTTACTGTGGTGGATTATAGCTGCCTCTTTGTTATGTCGTTTAATTGGACTATTGGCTACAATTATAAACCTATTGAGTCATATGCATTTACTTGTCTGTAGAAACAAGGCTTTGATGCAGTAATATAACAGAGTAGAATGGATTGTGTTCTCTAAATTTACTAATTTATTCTCATCACTAACGTGTTCTGGAGGGAATAAATTTTCTCTAAAATACAATAATCATTTGTTGCAGCTGGGGAAAGGCGCTGATGGACTATGTGACTAGAGTCTGGAGAAAATTTAACACTTTAAAAATGGGAAAGGAAGCGACTGGTGATTGACAGTCATTGAATGGACCCATGCTCACCCTCGGCAGCTGGTGAGGGGGCATGGACCTGGGAATCAGCGTTCTGAAGAGACTTTAGAATTTCAATAGTTGTCTTGAAACTATTTCTAAAATTTTTTGGTTTTAGAACATGAAGTGTTTCACTTAGCACCCTCAATTGTGAATCATCCATGGCTATGTGAATATGATAATGGCAACTGATTTTAGAATCTCATAACATTATCACTGAGATAAGGTGAGATCAAGTCTTCAACCATTGCCGTGACAAAACTGTGTGTGTTATCAGAGACACTGGAAAATGAAATTAGAATAAGACAGGAGCTGAGCATTAAGGATGGTCGATCCTCCAGACAAGAAAGGACAAAGTGGGGCTTAGAGCGGTGGCTCAATGGGTAGATGACTTGGTATGTAATCTCGAGGGCCTGAGTTTGGTACCCCAGCCCGCACATAAGAAGCCACACACAGTGGAGCATGCCTGCAGCCCTAGCCTTAGAGAAGAGCTAGTCTTGGTACATAGGTGAGTTCCAGTTTCAATGAGAGATGCTTCCAAAAGATAAGGTGGAGAGTCATTGAAGACATCTGACCTTGACCTCTGGTCTCCACACCTATGTGAACCTGTGTGTGTGTGTGTGTGTGTGTGTGTGTGTGTGTGCACATGCACAAACATTTGTAATATTTACATGTACACACACACACACACACACACACACACACACACACACACACACGCACACACACACATGCATATGCCCCTTATATATCTTCTCAAAGTAGCAAATGTAAGATTTCTATATGATTGTATCAGCTTTTCCGATTAGGCAATAAAACATTTGTCTAATTACAATTCAGTGAATAATTAGAGCCAACATACACTAATTCTGCACCTAGTATCCTAGAGAGCAGCTATTTCTATTACATTTCAGCCTACTCAAATCTTAAACCCCCGTCTCTGGCTCCCCTTTATGCTACCTATCCTGCCTGCCTCTCCTGCCTTCCTCCATTCTCTTGTCTCACTGACAAAATACAGGACATTCTTCATTTTGCATTCTTGAAACCCAATTTAAACAGAAAACTGCTCTGTAAAAGCCACTTGTAACTGGCCAACTTCTCTGAGAATGCTCTTTCCAGCCCTCACAGCAGTAACTCCCTGGTGGCCTTTGATCTTGGTGGTCACCACTCCCAAGAAACAAGTCTCCCTGAACAAGCAGTCCAAACTTTGAGGTGTCTGCCTTTGCTCATGACACCCTATGTAGTAAGTTCTTCCCTCTGCCTCATTTTCCTCAAGAAAGCCTACTCATTTGTCAGAAATCTGGGCAAAATCAACCCTTCCTCCTCTCTGCCGCCTGTCGATCTTACACTGGTTGTTCAAGGTCTTACTGTACCACCTTTAAAAATATTCAGTTGTTTATAGGCAGAGTGTCACTTGTTATGAAGTTTTGAGTGTGCTTTTATTTTCACTAAATTTCTCTTACTAAAACACGATCTTGTGCTATCATAAATTTAATGCTCTTTTAGTGTATCATACATCTATAAAATACAAAAATATGCACGTTTATAGATATTCTCATTTTGTTAGGTAACCAAAATATTTTCAGAAATTCTTTTCAGATACATCTCTTTTCTTTTACCGACACAATTCCTCCAGTTATATTAGAATTGCCTTAGAGAAAGAATGCAGCACTGAGCCCCGCAGTGTATCGGAAATATTTCAGAGAGAGACACTGCTATTGATTTTGTTCATAATTGACAGTGCTCCTATTTTTCAGTTTGGAGCCATACTGTATGAGGGAATTTCCACTTTCATTTATGTCTCTTGTACTCCATGAAAATGCACAGCTCTGCCAGTTACCCTGGATGGTTTTGCTGTCGTGATTAAAACACAGATGGAGCTCATTTCTTCCCCAAGTGTTTGATTGGCAGTCACTCTGTGATCAACACTCTCACTGCTGAACACATCAGCACCATCTGCCTCCAGTCTGCTTGGAGAGCTTGTCACCGTACACTTTCCTCGCCTCACTTGAACCAGTTTAAAAGATGTGGATTCCTTTTGCTGAAGCCATCAAGTGAGTCATGAGAAGCTAAGTATAATATGTAGAGATTTTCATGGCAGTCAGCTTCCAGATTAATGAAATATTCATTTAAATTGGACTTTGAAAATGTGTCATTTCTTTTCTCTGGTTAAGATACTAAGAGCATAACACAAAGACACAGTGTCTTGAAAAGCCAGGCTCTAAATAAATTCCGCTGATGGGGGCATTTTGTTTTCACTGAGGTTGTTAAAGATGATTTCAAACCAGGCTCCTGTGCTCTGAACCTCTAGGTGAGTGCTATGTATGGTGGACAGTCCTTTAGTGTGCTGTCTCTTAAACCTGATACAAAGTAGGATTCTGTCAAAGAGCATGCTAATTCTCTACTTGTTAGAACTTATAAATAGATTATAAGAAATTATACTTCCTAATTTGGATGTCAGTATGAAGAATGGGCAGACACATGGTCATACAGTGTTGCTGCGGATAAGTGAATGTAGCTTGGATGCCTTAGAAAAGGATACATTTAAGAAAACAGAAGCCTGGAAACAGGGATATTAGGAGGGAGATGAGAAAAGATTGTTTCGCTGTTCTAAAAATAGCAATGTAACTGGTTCAAACTTAATTACCTAAATATGTAAGACATATACTCGTATCGTGCTTAATGATATGAATTGTATATATAATTAAGTAACAGGAAACTGGTTTGAGTTCCTCCTTCCTGTCCAAATTGATAACTAAATATAATTAATACAATGAAAAATGTACCTTGTAGTATTTATAGGGGAAACTAAACAAATTGATGTGTTGTTCAGAGAATGTTGGGACAAAGAATAAAGGACTTAGGTTTTAAAACATTCTAAAGAACTATGGACTAAATATTCTTGTTGCTCGAGGTTTCTAAGGACATTCACTTATAAGGCAAGGGCAGTAGTGGCCTTTCTATTTGGTTGGGCATTGGCTGGTTTTCTCTGAAGTTAATCACTTCAGAGCTGGAGTGAAAAACCATGACACCTTTTGAAGGTAAATGAACAGAAAGGAAGGGAAATAACTATGAAACTCCATAATCTCATCATCGTCACACCAGAATCTCTCACAGAGGAATGCTGAATAAATATCCCATTTAGTTTTATCATAGTTACCTCTATCAAAGCTTGGGAGTTTTCAAGGTAAGGCTTGGAAGTAGAAAGGGAAATAAAACCATATTTTAACTTAATTTAAACACACATTTGGTTCACAGAACAAGCACCTTTAGGAAGCTACATTCTCAAAAGGAGAAGGACATCATAATTTGACAGAAATTGCTGGAACCATTTGCTGCAAACAATATGGGAGTTTAGAGAAGGCAAGTACTCCCCAGGTCCTGGGAGAATGGCCCAGACAGAGTTTGTCCACTTTAGTTCTGTTCTGACAACTTACGTCTTTTTTCCAAGTTACTTCTTTCTGCACTGGTTTTATTTTCTCTTGACATTTACTTTGTGGCTCACCCAAACTTGTCTTTCATAACGATTGCACATCTAATATGAATCTCCAGAGAACTTCGTTAGATGGCATTTGATTAGTAGAGCACTCGACGTATGTAACTCAGCCAGAAACTATTCTAAGTACTTTACTCTAAAAGAAACTAACATATTTGGCAAAGATTAAGCTGCCTAATATGACTTAGTTAATCCAGTGGAGGGATCCAAGTCTAGGATCTACTAGTGTACTGTATCTAGTGCCCTTAAAGTAGACCAGCTCCTAGAATTGCCCTGCATGTAAGCAGTTAAAGCCTCCTTGAGTCCAATCCCATGCCAACAGCAGAGCAACAGAGAAGAGTCAGGATGAGGGTTCTGCACGGAACCTAAGAGGAAGAAGATGGAGAAACCAACTGTCACGTGAACACCTCTGTGTGCTCTGGCACCTGGTCACATTTGCCTCTACACTCTGTTAGACTTGTTTGCCTACATCCTTGTCCCTCAGCCCAGATTATAACCTTCACCTGTGCCAGCTCTAATGGATTGGTGACAAAGTGTCAAATCCCGTGCCTCGGAAGACCACCTGGGGTTTTATTCTCTCTTTGCAGTTGAACAGGATTTCTAAGCAGCAGCTAGATTACATAGTGACTGGGTTGAGGGTTGAAGTGAGTCTCTTGGATGGGAACAGTGGATGGAAGAAGGTGCATGACTCTGAAAGAACCTGTGCTCCCTGTCATTAGCCCCAGGCTTCTTGTTAACTTTCCCTGGTTCTTTGTTTCCTTGTTTGCCACATAAAAAGAGCTGTAAGTCCTCGGGAGTTCTGAAAAAAATTTTTTTTTGATAGAGATCTCTCTGACCAAACTGGACAGACATAAGAAATGTGTACACAAAGGACAGTGTGGTTTGAGATGGTGAAATAAGAGCAGAGGTTTCCTGTAAAGGCGTGGGCATGGGTTGGAGGGGAAGCTGCCTGTTGGTGTGGTAGTGACACACGTGTTTCATTTTTTGCAATAGAATTATGCATTGAAGAAGTTCATTTCATCCTTGTGCGTTTTCAACCTCAGTAAAAATAGCCTGAAATATTAATCAAGGTAAGAGTGTTGTCTTAAAAGGTATCACAAATCATTATTGATTCACAGGCATGGCCAACCTTTTGACATCGAAACATGACACTGTTGTCTTCAAAGATGACACTCAGGAATTGCACAGCTGAGTTACTTCCTACACACACACACACACACACACACACACACACACACACACACACACACCCCTCTAAAACAATCTTCCATGCTTTAAGTAGGTTTGTGGTTGTGTGTTGAGTCATATTTGTATCTGTCTCTGCCTAATACAGCCCATGGCTGGCATGTCGGCCACACATGGTAGAAACTTTAGAGAAGGAAACCCCAGATACAGACTTAACACTCAGGAAAGCTACCTCTTCATTGGGAAGTCCATGAAAGTGGTGAAAAAGGGTAACATGACCCAGTGTCGGGCCAAGAATTGTATGTATAATGAGCTATTTATTAGTCTTTCTGACTGAGTTAACAGTTTCTATTGCTATGATGAAATGCCATGACCAAAAAGCAGTTTAGGGAGGGAAGGGTTAATTTAATCTGTACTTCTAGGTAACATTCCATCCACTGAGGGACATCAGGGCAAGAACTCAAGCAGGGCAGGAGACTGGAGGCAGGAACTGAAGCCGGTTATGGAGGAGCACTGCTCTCAGGCTTGCTCTGCATGGCTTGCCCAGTCTGCTTTCCTAGACCACCCAGGACCACCAGCCCAGATGAAACTGCTCACGATGAGTGGGGCCCTTGCACCACAGGCATCTTCACAGAGGACTCTTGTGGGGGCATTTTCTTAATTGAGGTTCCATCTGCTAAAATGACTCTACCTTGTGTTAGGTTGACATAAAACTAGGCAATACACTTCCTTAACTATTGATTGATTGATTGATTGATTGATTGATTGATTGATTTTTGAGGCAGGGTTTCCTTGAATAGCTCTGACTGTCCTGGAACTCACTCTGTACACCAGAATGTCCTCAGATGCAGATGCCCCTGCCTCCCGAGTGCTGGGATTAAAGGTGTGCACCACCACCTTAACTATTTTTGCTTCTTGAAATGCTTTCAAGACTTTTTCCCTTTTTCAATAAAGTGGTTTTGCAATCTTTTTCTCTTCATAGCATTTTTAAATGTTCCCACAGATAGTCCTGTTTGCTTTTTTTCTTTTTTTTTTTTCTCCCTTTTTTTTTTTTTTTTTTTTTTTCTTCTAATCTGATATTTACTGTGTAAGGGTTACTAGTCTGGACAACTCCCGATGCATAGTATTCATTAAACATTAGTTCACACAGAACAACCAAGAAACTACTGTTTGTGTTCTGTGGTTTCCTGTTCAGGAAATTTTTTTTTTTCCCCCCCCCCCCCCCCCCCCGACACACACACAATGCTGGACATTGAACTCAGGGCTGGAAATTTGCTCAGCAAGTACTCTATCAGCAAGCTGCACCCTGCCCCCCTAGCTGCTTCTCAGCTCTGTACTCCTCTACTCTTTTTCTAGAACAGTGCTGAGCCAGTGACTCTCGTCTGCTTTACCTTTTTCTTCTGTCTTTTCCCCCCACTTCAAATTCTTCTCTTTAATTAAAATCTTACCCTGTTCCTTCCATGTCCCTGTGATCCTGTTGGTCAAGTCACATGTCCACGTATGCACGTAGAAAATGAACTGGACCCGATGGAGTCAGCTTTTTTTTTTTTTTATGTCTAGTTTAAACCAAAGTATTTGGCCATGTGTGGGGTGCTGAGCTAGCTGCTCTTATTCTTAGAAGGTAATACAATGAAAAATGCACTATCCTAGAGTTTCTTGCATTCAGTAAGGCAGAAAGATTGGAAGGAAAGCAGTAGATGAAAGAGGCAGGGATGACGTAAGAGAGAGGAACGGGGTGTGGGCTGCTTCTGTACGCCATACATCCTTGATGGATGCTTGCTGGTGCTACCCACACGTTAGATTATCCAAAACGCTGACAGTTTGAATTCATTCCAGGGTGTTTTTTTCTAGGTCGCTCCAAATTCTTGAAGTCCCTGCTCAATGGTCCTGAATTCAAACTCCAAAAGGCAAAACTGACCTAGAAAGAGATTATTAAATTAGGAAGTAGGATGATGGTGCAGACATCACTCATCAGGGTACGCCAGGCTCGGCTGAAGGGAGTGCCCAAGGTCTCCTTGAGGGAAGACTTTCTGGACAAGGCTCAGATGGGAAGGGCTGGAGCGCACGAACCTGTTCAATTATAGTCCTACATCCCAGGAGTCCTGCCTGACTTCAAGCTGCACAGAGCGGCTTCAGATGAGTTGGTGTCTACATTGGAATGGGTCCAGTCCAATGATGTGGGGTACAGCATGAATAGACTATGGGTATTGGGTTATCTAAGGGTGAAAAGGATGGGAACGGAACCCTCCAGGAGGCAAACATGTTTCTAAGGCAATATGCGCCAATTTCAAATTCGTTGTTCTTTACAGTATAGGACTGCAGGAGGCCATGTTAGTCCAAGCTGTAAAATTAATGAATCTAAGAGGGCATTAGCAGCAAAGCCTTTTCTGAGCAAAGAGAAGTCCAGCTCCGCTTTGGTTTTTCAAGGATCCTAGTTTATGAAAAGCCAAATTCCAAAATCAGCATGCAAAAACTGCATCATGTTTAATGTTTCCATTCAATTTGCTAAAACCTTTTTAACGTGTTCCCAAAACACAGTCACTGAATGTGTGATGTAATTGAAAAATTGAATAATGTATAATCTAATTGGATAAATTTCTGGATAATACTAGAAAATCCAAATGAGACTTTGTCCATCCAACCACATTGCTGTTTTCCATTGCCCATTTTCCCAATTCTGAGTCAGGCACATTGGAACGTTTCTAAGTGGTGAATGCAACTGAGATGATTTTTACAGAATTATATAATAGTGAGAGTAAATGTTTTTTTAAATCCTCAAATCATATCTTTTGAAATGGAAAGTTTAAATGTTGAGAAGAGGATGGATGGACGGATGAGAACTGGAGACTCAAAGGAAAGACTAAAGTAAATGTGAGGAAAAAGTGTTAGCTGCTGCAGAAATAGTGTCTTGTGTGTAGACGGCTTTTCACCTAAGCAGAGTTATAAGGTCACCAGAAACCATTACAAAAGACAGTGGGGTCACAGTGTGTTCTGAGCAACCCTGAATCTAAAGACAGCTGCACCATTCGAAGGGGAGAAGGAGAGTCCATGAACAGAACAAAGATGATTGAGAAAACCCACCATTATCTCAGTAAACCACCAGCAAGAGAATCACAAGAAAATTAAAATCCATTAAAAAAAGTAAAATTAAGTGGTGTGTTATAACACCTACTATTAAAGAACCATATCTTTAATTTTTTTTTCTTAAAGCATTTTAAGTCTGAACTGATCATTGATGAACACTGAAGTGGGGATGATTGGGTATCAAAGACAGAGCCACTAGGTCGTTCACGGCTTCCTGCTTCTGGCCTGGATTCCTGGAAGGTACACTAGAACAATCAAAGTACAACCAGGGTGAGCAATTACTATGTGTAATCTTACAGCAGATTCAGCTAGGACTGGGAGTTGGCTGCAGTCTTCTTCAGTCCTGGGCATTTTCTTTGATGAGTCAGTAAAATGAAAGAATCCAACCTATGACGCAGGAACAGGCTCTGAACACTGGTGCCTACATTTTAAGTTTCTATTAAACCCACACAGTCCATGCACATGCCTTGACTGAGTTGTTTGGTGCTGAGATTAAACCTGGGGCTTCTCACCTGTGAAGTACATGCTCATCCACTGAGCTACACATATCATTCCCAAAGCTGGACTGTAACATGCTATTCTCATGCATACTTT